CTTTCCCCCTCTCCCCAACACTCCCCAGCCTCCCCGCTATAATTTGACAGTCTGTTTGATGATTTACTGCTTCTGTATCTATCTTTTTGTTCATCAGATTATAATGTTCTTTATTTTCCATAAATGAGTGAGATCATGTGGTATTTTTCTTTCATTGCCTGTCTTATTTCACTTAACAAAATGCTCTCCAGATCCATCCATGCTGCTGCAAATGGTAAGAATTCCTTCTTTTTTATAGCAGCATAGTATTCCATTGTGTAGATGTACAACAGTTTTCTAATCCACTCATTTGCTGATGGGCTCTTAGGCTGTTTCCAAATCTTAGCTATGGTGAATTGTGCTGCTATGAACATAGGGGTGCATATTTCCTTTCTGATTGGTGTTTCTAGTTTCTTAGCATATATTCCTAGAAGTGGATGACTGGGTCAAATGGGAGTTCCATTTTTAGTTTTTTGAGGAAACTCGATATTGTTCTCCACGGTGGCTGCATCAGTCTGCATTCCCACCAGCAGTGCACGAGGGTTCCTTTTTCTCCTCATCCTCGCCAACACTTGTTGTTTGTTGATTTGTTGATGTTGGCCATTCTGACAGGTGTGAGATGGTACCTCATTGTCATTTTGATTTGCATCACTCAGATGATTAGTGACTTTGAGCATCTTTTCATGTGTCTCTTGGCCGTCCTTCTGTCTTATTTCGAAAAGTTTCTATTTCGGTCCATTTCTCATTTTTTATTGGATCATTTATCTTCCTTTTATTAAGTTGTATGAGTTCCTATAAATGTTGGAGATTAAACCTTTATCATTGATAACATTTGCAAATATGTTCTTCCATACTATGAGCTTTGTAGTTATGTTGATGGTTTCTTTTGCTGTGCAAAAGCTTTTTATTTTGATGTAGTCACATCTGTTTATTTTCTCCTTAGTTTCCATTGCCCTAGGAGCAGTATCTGTGAAGAAATAGTCTGAGATTTTGCTGCCTGTGGATTCCTCTTGTATTTTTATAGTTTCCCTTCTTATGTTTTAAGTCTTTTATCCATTTTGAGTTTATTTTTGTGTATGGTATAAAAGTTTGTAGTCTAGTTTCAATTTTTTGCATGTATCTGTCCAATTTTCCCAGCACCATTTATTGAAGAGACTGTCTTGACTCCTTTATGTGTTAATGCCTCCTTTGTCAAATATTAATTGAGCATACTGGTGTGGGTCAATATCTGAGTTCTCTATTCTATTTCATTGGTCTATATCGTCTATATGTCTGTTCTTGTACCAGGCTGTTTTGATAATAGTGACTTTTGTAATACAGCTTAAAATCTGGTATTGAGATCGCTCCTACTTTGTTCTTCTTTCTCAGGATTGCTGTGGCTATTCAGGGTCTTTTTTTATTCCAGATGAATTTTTGGAGAGTTCTTTCTAGGTCTGTGAAATATGCCATTGGTATTTTAATGGGGAGTGCATTGAAGCTATAGATTGCTTTGGGTAGTATGTACATTTTAATGATGTTAATTCTACCAATCCATGAACATGGTATGTTCTTCCATCTGTTTATGTCTTCCTCTATGTCTTTTCAGTGTCCTATAGTTTTACACGTATTGGTCTTTTACCTCCAAAGTTAAGTTTATTTCTAGGTATCTTAATTTTTTGGTGCGATGGTAAATGGAATTGCTTTTTTGGTCTCTCTTTGTGTAAGTTCACTATTGGTGTATAGAAATGTCATAGATTTCTTGGCGTTAATTTTATATCCTGCTACATTGCCAAATTCATTAAGTCTATTCGTTTTTTGATGGAGTCTTTTGTTTTTTTTGTGTACAATATCATGTCATCTGCAAATAAGGACAGCTTTACTTCTTCTTTTCCAATTTGGATGCCTTTTATTTCTTCTTCTTGTCTAATTGCAATGGCTAATACTTCCAGTACTATGTCAAACAGGAGTGGTGAGAGTGGGCATCCCTGTCTTGTTCCTGTTCTTAAGGGAAATGGTTTTAGTTTTTGCCTATTGAGTATGTTAGCTATGGTTTTATCATATATAGCTTTTTTTATGTTGAGGTATGATCCTTCTATTCCCACCTTGCTGAGAGTTTTTCTCAAGAAAAGGTGTTGGATTTTGTCAAATGCTTTTTCTGCATCAATTGACATGACTATGTGACTTTTATCTTTCAGTTTGTTTATGTGATGTATCACATTTATTGATTTGTGAATATTGTGCCATCCTTGTATTCCTGGGATAAATCCTACTTGGTCATGGTGTATAATCTTCCTGATGTACGATTTGTTAGAATTTTGTTGAGGATTTTGGCATCTGTGTTCATGAGGGATATTGGTCTCTAAATTTCTTTCATTGTGTTGTCTTTATCTGGTTTCGGCATTAGGGTGATGCTGGCTTCATAGAAGGAGCTTGGAAGTGTTCCTTTCTTTTGAAATTTTGGAATAGTTTTAGTTCTTCCTTGAATGTTTGGTAAAACTACTCTGTGAAGCTGTCTGGCCCTGAGCTTTTGTTTGTTGGAAGCTTTTTGATGACTGCTTCAATTTCTTCCAAAGTCACTGGTCTATTGAGATTTTTGGATTCTTCCTGATTGAGTTTTGGAAGGTTGTATTTTTCTATGAATGTGTCCATTTCCTCCAGGTTGTCTAGTTTGTTGGAATAGAGTTGGTCATAGTATTTTTTAAAACAGTCCTTTGTATTTCTGTGAGGTCTGTTGTTATTTTTCCTCTTTCATTTCTGGTTTTGTTTATTTGGGTCCTCTCTCTTTGCTTCTTGGTGAGTCTGGCTAGAGATTCATCAATCTTGTTTATCCTTTCTAAAAACTTGGTTTTATTGATCTTTTGTATTGCTGTCGTGTGTTTTTTTTTTTTTTTATCTCTATGTTGTTTTTCTATGCTCTGATCTTTATTATTTCCTTCTGCATACACTGGGATTTTCTTGTTCTCTTTCTAATTCATTGAGTTGTAATGGTACGTAGTTTATTAGTTTATTTCCATTGTTTCTTGTTCTTTTTTTTTTTTTTTTTTTTTTGCAGTAGGCTTGTAGAACTGTGAACTTCCCTCTCAAGACTGCTTTTGCTGTGTTTTCATAGATTTTGGATTGTTGTGTTTTCATTGTCATTTGTTGTCATGATGTTTTTTATTTCTTCTTTGATCTTTTTGGCAACCCAGTCATTTTTTAATAGCATGCTATTTAGTTTCCATGTGTTTTATTTTTTGGGGGTTTTTAAAAATAAATATTTTATTGATTTTTTTACATAGAGGAAGAGAGAGGGATCGAGAGTCAGAAAAATCGATGAAAGAGAAACATTGATCAACTGCCTCTTGCACACCCCCTACTGGGGATGTGCTTGCAACCAAGGTACACGCCCTTGACCGGAATCGAACCTGGGACCTTTCAGTCCTCAGACTGACACTCTATACACTGATCCAAACCAGTTTGGGCTTGGATTGTTTTTATTGTAGTTGACTTCCAGTTTTATGCCATTATGTTTGAGAAGATGCTTGATATGATATGATTTCTATCTTCTTAAATTTGAAGATACTTTGCCTGTGACCCAATATATGATCTTTCTTTGAAAATGACTCATATGCACTTGAGAAGAATGTATATTCTGTGGCTTTGGGGTGAAATGTTCTGAAGTTGTCAATTCCATCTGCTGTAGTGAGTCATTTAGGATTGATGCTTCTTTGTTGATTTTTTTGTTTAGAGGATTTGTCATGGTGATAGTGTGGTATTAAAGTCTCCTACTATGATTGTATTGCTGTTAATCTCTCCCTTGATATCCTCCAGGAGTTTTTTTTGTTTTGTTTTTTTGCTGTTTTTTTTGTTTTGTTTTTTTATGTATTTGGGTGCTCCTGTATTGGGTGTATATATGTTTACTAGAGTCATTTCTTCTTGTTAGATTGCTCCCTTTTGTATTATGAAGTCGCCTTCCTTATATCTTTTTATGTCCTTCACTGTTCGATCTAATTTGTCAGATATAAGTATTGATACCCCAGCTTTTTATTCATTTTCATTCGCCTGGAAAACCTTTTTCCATCCCTTCACCCTCAGTCTGTGTATGAAGTTATAGCTTTTGTACATATTTAAAGGTAGTATTTTACCCCCCTTTTTTTTGTTCCTATTAAATACTTGACCTTGCAAAATCACCTGACACTTGTTATACTCTAAAGAAAAACTTTGATTGATATATTTTTTATTGATTAAAATATCAATCAAAAATTTTTTAAAGAAAAATATTAATTTTTATTAAAATGTTCTATTATTTTATTTTAATTATTACTCATTTCAGCCCTTTGTGTTCACCATGTCTCTATCAAAATAAACCTACGTTTCTATGAAAAAAAAAGACACTTTGAATGAAAAACTCTTCAAGTAGAAATACTGTTTCATTAGAATATTTATGTTTAGTCGCTGTCTTTTTCTTGTAATCACACCTTGTTAACTAGTGTTAACATGGGAGCATAATTATTAGACTTTACAAATTAAATAAACAAGCTAAAGAAAATATTTTTACCACAAAAAATTATACTGATTAATTTTGGCCACTTAGCCCCATTTCAGGGGTTGTTTAGGTTATTTATTTATTTATTTATTTATTTTTGTTTAGTTTTCTTTGTTTGTGGTTCCCATGCTCCATATGTAGCTTTGTATGTATTTCATAAATAAAGTAATGTTTGAAACATTTAAAAACTACCCAAAATGTAGCTAATAAATTGATTTAAACTTGGAATGAAGCCAGTGGGTGGCGTGGAGATATAATAAGGAATGAAAAATTGGGGTGGGTAGAATGGGAATCTATATTTACAAACCATATTCTGTGGTATATATAATTGCTTTGAAATTAATATGACTTATTAGGGAAAGAAAGGAAAGAAAAACACTCCCCACCAAAATAAAAATGCATTTTCTTTTGGAAAGAACCACTTTATTTTCCTCCTTTCTTTTTCTTTTTTCCTTTCCTTTTATTTTTCCTTTTCTTTTTTTTCCTTTTTTTTTTTTTTTGTCTTTTTATTTTAAAGATATTTGGGCTATAGGGTGTATATTTGCAGAACTACTAACGTCAGAACCAATATTTCACTGTCGACAAGAGGACATCAAAACTAGTAATCCTTATCACCATGACCAGCTGGACAGAATATTCAATGTAATGGGATTCCCTGCAGGTACACATTATGTTTTTGTTTTTAAATCACTGTTGTTTGAACTTAGGTATCTTCATTGGATAGGTGTGTATTTTTAGTTGATAAAAGCTACTCTTACTTTATACCTTATATTTATGGCTTGTCTTAATCAAAGATCCTTAGAAATAGCAAAATTTATGGAGTTCATGTTTTAGCATGAAAATATTTATGGATTTCCTGAACTTACACTTGCAGGTGTATTTTTGTGTTTTTTTTGTTGTTGTTCTATTTTGTTTTGTTGTTTAATATATGAAATGATAAAATATTTGCAATATCTATATTTAAAAGGTGCCTTTAGTTCTTACAAGTGGGAACTGCAAATAAAATTCAGTAGCATGCACTTTTGTCTGGCAGAACATACTATGCTGCCATTAATTACTTGGCACTTGAATATAAATTTTGAACCTGATTTTTATTTAGGGCACTGTGCAGACTCACATTGTATTGAATAATAGCTTTTTTTTTTTTTTTATAATCTTTGTCAATAAGAACATTCTTTTAAATTTTGTATTAGAACAGTCAGAATGTAGGTGAAAATCGAGCAATCCAACAACCTTGCTCGCAAATGCACCGGTTTGCGGTAGGGAAAAAGTTGGTTAGGTGTCTCAGCATGGGCATTAGATCTCTCCGGCTGTATCCCCTTCCTTTGTTATACCACAGAATGATATTCATCAGTCACTAAAAACTGCCCAGTGGTCCAGAATAATGAAAACTTATTTAAAGCACCTTTATAATTTTTTATAGTCGAGTACTTATTAAAAATTGTTTGTTGGAATTTTTTCTCAGGTCACTATATCTCAAGACTAATACACATATATCTGGGAGTTAATAATTTCACATTCCCTTAGAATAGTGGTCGGCAAACTCATTAGTCAACAGAGCCAAATACCAACAGTACAACGATTGAAATTTTTTTTTTTGAGCCAAAAACCAACTTCTGCGCATGGACCACAAAGTTTCGATCACACTATATGTGTGCGCCCGCACATGGTGTTTTGTGGAAGAGCCACACTCAAGGGGCCAAAGAGTCGCATATGGCTCACAAGCCGCAGTTTGCCGACCACTGCCTTAGAATGATGTTAATTATCAGTAAATGCAAAATAACTACACAGATACTGCCTTTCTCCAAAATTGGTTAACAATTCTGCAAAGACTGCTTTGTTGTGATGGGAATTTCAGTTATTCACTGAGTATTTACTGAGTACCTGCCATGTGCCAAGCACTGTGTTAAATGTAAAATATTGTAGACTTAGATATGATTCCTGCCCCTTCAAGTTTACATTTTACTGATCTAAGTAGACTGTTTTAAGAATATGTATGGTTTGAGTAGATGGAGAAGAGTAACCTTTGCTTCCCACTTCTGAATGGGTCCATCAGAGAAAGGAACATGGCTAAGCCAGGGTGGAAGTGGGAAAGGCCTTTTTAGGAGATGATTCTTAATGTGTGGTTCAACAGTTAGGATAGGCTCAGCTTATAAGGAACTTGAAGAGCAGGCAGCAGAATTTAGATTTGCTATGCTAAAGAGTGAGACTTCATGATAAAATATGTTACATTTTAAAAAGATATTAGAATGGCAGTGGTTTATAAAAATCAATGAAAAACAAGTAAATTTAGTCGGGGAAACCAGCTGCTTGCTTATAACATTATCCCAGGTATAAAGTGATAATAAGGAAGGAGAATAAGGGACAAATGTATCATTTTAATAGCAAGTATATCATTAAGGGAAAAGATTATCTCAAGATTTCTAGCTTGAGAAACTTACAAAATAGAGAAATTAAAGTGAGAAAATAGTTGAGAAAATTCTACTTAGGAACTTAAATATATATTTAGTTTATTTTAAAATATGTGATATCTGTGGAGGAAGTTAGCAAATATTTTTACAAGTAAATTGAAAGAAACTCGAACCTCTAAAAGCCATTTAAAAGCTAATGGTGCTGGTCAGCTACCGTTATAGTGCTGCGCACTTAGTAGACTCTCTTTTACTTTATCAAAGTAAAAGTCCATTGATAATGATGGAGAAAACAAGCTATTTAGCATATGTTGCTTGAATAACTCTAATGCCAGCAAAACTAACTGAGACATTTTCTACCTAATATATTAGTAGCTGGGATTGTTTTTGTTATGTTATTGAAACTAGCCAAAGCCAACAGCTAATTAATGTACTAGTTATATCCTACTCTATTCTATTTGAAGTAATTATTACTGCTTACATAGAATGCTGATATAAAAGCAATGTATTTAATAAGGTGACAATAAGGAGGGCCATATGAAAAGAAGTGTACCTTAAAGCTGCTGAGGAGAAGATATTAGATTTATTATTGAAGAGATTGGTTACTGATTTAACAAAGAAATTTGGTAAAAATAAAAAAAGAAAGAAAAAGAAAAATACTGATTTTACAAAGAGAATTAGAATTAATAATAGAAACTTTTATCTATAACATTCCGCTCTAGTTCTAGAAATTTAGGTAACATAAACATAGTCAAACACGTAAAAAGTAGGCATTTAAAAAAAGATAGAAAGGTCTATTTCTATACAAGGTAGAATTGTATTTACAGTGCAAGATAAGATCTTTACTGTAGCTACCATTTATTTGAAGTCTGTGCTTTCATGGAGGTTAAAAGTATAGGAAATGTAATGAAACTGAGATGACCTTTATTGAAGTTCTTGAGACTAGGAACCTAGACAACATAAAATTTTATCAATGTATTTCACAGATAAAGATTGGGAAGATATAAAAAAGATGCCTGAACATTCAACATTAATGAAAGATTTCAGAAGAAATACGTAAGTTGGAAAGAAAATAGACCTTTTATTTAGTTTTGCCTTTCCAGAGTACTCAGCAGAAGACTGAATGAATACTCAACATAATAGAATATACAACATAATATTAGTCTAATAAATAATTTTATATATTTAGTATATATTTTTTACATTATGACCTTCATTTCTTAAGATGTTTAAGTGATATAAGAAAGGTGAATATCTAATATTAGCAGCTGACTTGGATATGAGGGAAAAAATTTTTTCCCCATATTTATTACTTTCTGGAACCATTGGTAAAAAGTAATTCTAGGCAGTAAGAGACTGAAATAAATAAGCCTTGTAAATAACCACTTGTCTACCCATCTAGGTTGGGTAATTTTAAGCAAGTTTTAATAGAAGAAAAGGAATATTTCATTTATTTACAAGGCAAGATCAGGGGATTGGAAGAGGGCACTATATAGATTTATAACAATTTTTTTTCTTTTTATTTATTTAAGGCTGAGTTAAACTTTTGATCCAATTAAGATAATTTTTGAGATAACATGCATGTGGAAACTATTCAGTATATATTATTAATGAAATTATCTTGCATGTAATCAGTAGTATCCATTCAAAAGTGACCAGTGTGAATATTCATTGAAGTATAAAATTGATTTAATGCCACTCTTTATTCTGATTATACCATTTTCAATATATTGATTATGATGAAAAGAATTCTGTGTGGAAAAACTTCAACCAATGTAAAATTAATCTAAAATTTAATATAGATATCTAATTTAATTTAAAGTTAACCTCAAATTTAATATAGTATTTCTCTTTCAGGTATACCAACTGCAGCCTTATCAAGTATATGGAAAAACATAAAGTAAAACCAGATAGTAAAGCATTCCACTTGGTAAGCTTTAGCAAATAGTACTAATAAAATGCGTTTTTCTGCCCTAATTGATTAGTCCATTCTAAGGCTTTATTGGGTCAGTTTCTATGGTTACTAAGCACATTTAGAGTACTTGAACAGTAAATGTAGAGATCATGTTAATAAATACTAGTAAAGACATAAAAATATTTGTTCAAACCCATAGCATGATTTGACATGGTTAGATTAGATTTTCTCAAGATAGTCATTATACCAAGTCTATCAAGCACATTTTAAAAATTACTTTTCTAGGTTTTATCAGTTATTTAAAAATTTCAGAGAAGAATCAAGAAGAAAATAACCCCACTATTCAGAAATATTTTTTATAAATTATTTTGTATTTCAACTCTGAAAAAACTGTTCACAAAATATTTAACCTCTTATAAACTTGGGTATTAGAAGTCCTTTAGTAATTGTATATATTAATTGCTTTTTCTGGAAGAGTATGGGAGATGCATTATTTATCAGTGTATAATGGAAATATGATGACCTGGAAACTGAATTAATCCATGTACTATCAAGATAATTTATGATGTGGGTTTATATAACTATTACCAACTTAAATTTAAAATAGAATTTTAAATTTAAAAATGTTTATGCTGTAAAAATTAAAAATGTTTTTTCACTTTATGTTTAAAAAAAAAACTATATACCATAAATGGGGGAATCTGAGGAATCAGTTTATATTTTTGCTTTGCTTAAAATGCTTTTATTTCTTTATTTCCAATATTTTTAAAAATATATTTTTATTGATTTCAGAGAGAAAGGGAGAGGGAGAGAAAGATAGAAACATCAATGATGAGAGAGAACTATTGATTGTCTGTTTCCTGCACACTCCACACTGGAGAATGAGTCTACAACCCAGGCATGTTCCTAGACCAGGAATTGAACCATGACCTCCTCGTTCATAAGTCAATGCTCAACCACTGAGCCATGCCAGCGGGCTATTCCCAATATTTTTAAATGAGTTTATTAAATGGGAATTTTTTTTTTTACTTGGAAAGGATTAAACTTTCCCTTATTATAGCCTAGGCCACTTGGAAAACATTTCTTCTGTTTCTACTTTTCTTCTTCTTCTACTGTTTCTACTTCTGTATCTTCCACTTATTTTTACATAGTCATACATTAGCAATTTAAGAAGCAGCGTTCAGCCGAAACTGGTTTGGCTCAATGGATAGAGCATCGGCTTGGGGACTGAAAGGTCGCGGGTTCGATTCCAGTCAAGGGCATGTACCTTGATTGTGGGCATATCCCCAGAAGGGAGTGTGCAAGAGGCAGCTGATCGATGACTCCCTCGTTGATGTTTTCTAACTCTATCTCTCTCCCTTCTTCTCTGTACAAAATCAATAAAATACATTTTTTTTAAAAAAAGAAGAAGCAGCGTTCAACATATAAATATTATTATCCAAATAATGTTTATTGTAATGTGCTTACCACAGGACCCTAATTAGAAGGTAAGTTAGATTTTTCAAAAGTATGAACTTGCCGAAACCAGTTTGGCTCAGTGGATAGAGCATCAGCCTGTGGACTGAAAGGTCCTGGGTTTGATTCCGGTCAAGGGCATGTACCTTGGTTGCGTACACATCCCCATAGGGGTGTGTGCAAGAGGCAGCTGATCAATGATTCTCTCTCATCAGTGTTTCTAACTCTCTATTCCTCTCACTTCCTCTCAGTAAAAAGTCAATAAAATATATATATATTTTTAAAGTATGAACTTATTTATTCTACAGAATAATAATAGTAATAGATTAATAGTCATGATTTAGGGGAATTATTCTTCCCCACCCCCCAATTCACTGCTACTCAGTGTAGTCTGAAGTGACTTGCACTACCAATACTGCTGAAATTCTAGAGATAAATCTCATTTGCAGCTTTGTTTGTTTTAACTGTAATGATCTGTCTAGAGTGCACCCATCTGAAAGCTCAGCTATAATTCCCTTTAAAATCATGATTGAGTATTTTAAAGAGCAAATCCATGCTTTCCTTTTCAACTCTAAAAATAAAATTGTGCTTTCATTAAAATATCAGATTACTAAAATTTAAATTTTACCATCCCAAGCATTTTAAAATATGTTTTGTCCTCTAATTGTGTCACCGAATAGTCTGGAAACTTGTTGAAAATACAGAACTTTGCGCTCCTGCTCAAGTAGACCAGCAGGAACTCTGGGAGTAGGGTCTAGCAATTTGTTTTAAGAAGTGCTCCAGGGATGATTCTGTTTACACTAATAAAATAGTAAGATGAAAATTGACTGTACCATTGTGAAACTCACCAGCCAATCAGGAATGGGTATACAAATTAACCCAACAAAGATGGCAGGTTAATTTGCATACACAGGCACTGAGCAGCTGGGGGCGGTATGCTTGAGTCATTGCCATGGTGACAACACAGGCGTTCCACACTGTTCTGGGCCTCTGGGCAGTGTGAGAAGGTGGAAAGGCAGCTCTGGACCTGATCAAAAAGGTGGCTCTGGTCAGAGCAAAGGTGGTGCTGGGAGCCAGGGGAAGGAAGGTCCGTTCTTGAACAAATCATGCATTGGGCCTCTGGTTGTACTATAACATCTGAAAACTTACATCAGAGACTATAAGCAAAGAGATCACTATTTAGATAATCTCTTAAATCACATATTAAAATAAGATATTCTAGTTCATAGAGCCTTTAGTAAACTATGTTTTAACCAAAAAAAATACTGAGTTTTTTCATTAATGTGACATTTCTGTATGTAGTGAAGATGATTATGGTGATGATAACAACTAACATTTATATAATGCTTTCTTTGTGCCAGGCACCATTTAATTGCTTTCCATATATTAAAGAGAAAAAAATCAACATGACATAGAAAAATGTTAGTTACATGCAAACAAGCGGTTAGAATAAGATGGAACTTGGAGACATTGTAGAAAATAGGTCTACCTTTCATCTAGCCCAATATTCCACCTTTCTGTGCCAATCCACCCAGCAGGATGAGCCTTGTTTCACACAGATGTACTTCTTGCAAAGTGAGCACCAGATGTTGCTCTTCACTTTCTTGCATGGATTGTCTTTGTAAGGCACTCTAGGATTTTGCTTGTTGTACCTGGAGTGCTTTTCCATGCACACAACACAGATATGATTTGTACAATGTCTCAGGGGGAATCTCTGGAAAATGATTGCCTGGGGTCATCCATTGAGTACAGGGTTCCTTTTGTGGGTGGCGGGGGGCTGATGTCCTGTATCCACCAATAAGTTGCAGGCACAGTTTCTGAATATATCTGGTGAAATTAACTGGCTTTTTTGAAGCAGCTTGCTGCTTTGAAGCATACAAGATACAAGAATTATAACTGACCCACGTAAAATATTTTATGAAAAGCCATTAGGGCCAGCGGTCATCTGGTCATTTTTGTCACAGCCACCCATATATTTATTATAGTCCTTCATCAGCTGTAGCATCTGTATTACTTGCACACCTAGCAAGTTTGTTTTACACTTTTCAGGGACTTAGGAAACTGCTTCCTGTTTTGCTGCAGGGTTCCCACAATTCCTGTGTGTAATTCTGACAGTGCATATTTAGCAAGGGTTACAGAATTGTTGAATCGGTCCATGACAAGCACATGAGATTTATTTTCCATTGCACATGAGGTCAGGAGACAAACAACTGTATTTCCTACTGCGCCCAAGTCTTATAGGCATTGTGCAGCACCAGTGTAGATTTCTGCATTCAAACTGTAGCCAGTCTCACCTTCACAGAGAGGAAAGACTTGATGCCCCACTTTGTGGGCTTATTTATCCTTAATATACTGCTTGATGGCCAAGTGGTTTTTTGTCTGGATCATCCCTTCATCTAGGCTCAAATGTTGCTTTGGCAGATGGAAGTGGAGAAACTTGGGGAGCAGACTTTCCAAGAAAGGCCTAACTTTATATATTCTGTCTGTCTTATGGATATTGGTGTCTTCCTCATCAATTATGTGTAAAAAACTCCAAAGGGCCAAGTATCTCTCGAGTCATAACATTTTAAAATCCTGGAGTAAACCCAACAAAGTCAGAGCCCTCATTTGTCCAATAAGCCCAATAGCTGGGCTTTATACATAAGTATTCCATATAGATCCTCAGTCCAAGAAAAGCCTTCATTTCTTCCACTGTGGCATGCTTGAAGTTTTTGGCATTGTAGGAGTTGGGCTTTGCTCTATGCAATTGGAGGGCCTGCAGGTTGGTTTTCGCTGTCAAATTTTGCCAAAGTATCATCCAAAAACAAGGATAGAAAGTCAATCTGTTCACTCTCCTCTGTGATAGATCCAGGAATATTCACTGGGCCTTTTCCATCCTCATTGAAATTCAAATCTGTGTTTGGTGATACAAAATTCCTTGTTCAACCTTCATCACCACCTACATCTCCCCCATCAGCTATTTGAAGGACACGCCTCCCCCTTCTCTTACTATCGATCTAGCTCTAGATCTATAAGGTTCAAGATTCTCCTCATTACTCGATCTCTCCCTATCTGTGTCACTTGAACTGGAAACGTATTCTTGATGAAATTCTGATTCCTCAGAGTCTGAATCAACTAAAGTACCTATTGGACTGTGATAAGCCTAGACCTACTTCGCTTTCCTGTTGAAGTTCAGCCGCTCGTTTCATTGTGAATTTTCAGAATTTTTTCACGTCAAACCACACAAAGTCAATTCAAACACATGGGGCCAGACATTTTTAATGGGGCCAGACATTTGCAATGGCTGACCATGAGGTTTGACCACGATTGGTTGGTTATTTTTAGTTTGTGATGAGTACCAAAAAATTGGTACAGCCGTCTGGTAGGGTTAACTCATTTAATCCTGAAAACAAACCTATGATAATAGGTACCAGTTTTAGTCTCCTTTTGTCAAGTGAGGTTACAGAGTGGTTAACTAACTTGTCCAAAGTCACTCAACCAAAAAATGTCTAGTGAGGATTTTAACTCAAGCAGCCTCTTTTCAGAATCTCTTCTGTACTTAACTACATCTCTGTACTTTCCAAGTTCCATATCAATCACCATATTTATTTAGATAGTACAGCACTGTCCGGGAGAACTTTGTGATGAGCTGTGCTACAGTAAGGACAGCCCTAGCAACATGGAGCTGTTGAGCTCAAGAAATGACCTGATATGACTGAGAAATTGATTTTTTAAATATAGTTAATTTAGATTTAAATCTAAATAACTGCATGTGGTATCATATTGTTTGTCTTAGAACTTTTTTAATCCTGTCCTGAATTGGATAATTTAGATAATGTAGGAAGAAGATTATTGGTTTAGAGTAAAAAGATATGTTTAATTACATCTTATAGGAGAATCACATGAGATAATGAATATTACCCTGTTTCCCTGAAAATAAGACAGTGTCTTATATTAATTTTTGCTCCCAAAGATGCGCTAGGTCTTATTTTCAGGGGATGTCTTATTTTTCCATGAAGAAGAATACGGCACACATTTATTATTAAATGAAAATAAAGGAAATTTATCACCTGTATACGGTACGGTAGTACGGTAGTTGTCAACACAAACCAGACAAACTGTGAATCCTACAGTACCAAGAATTGACTCATTTATTCAATGACAATCATGTCATCATCTTCTGGAACATCATCATAACAATCTAATTCCTGAATTTCCTGGTGAATTTTTTGTGACTCCATTTCTTTCAGAATCAGTGGACCAAATCTCTCATGTTTAGCCTGGGGGTGGGGGAGGCTTATTTTAGAGCGGATGCCTATATTTCACTCAGAAGGAAACCTGTAAGTAGGTCTTATTTTTGGAAGATGTCTTATTTTGGGGGAAACACGGTAGAATAACCAAAATGTGAATTATTACATTAAATTTAATAATTTTATCTTAATTTGGAGGAATAAATACCCTCCAAATCATGGTGTTATTCATCAAAAAACATATCTCCCACATGTGTATCAAGGGGTATAACTAGGAAAAGTAATTCAGTAATGTTTCTATGACTTATCGTTTCAGCTTCAGAAGTTGCTTACCATGGACCCAATAAAGCGAATTACCTCAGAACAGGCTATGCAGGATCCCTATTTCTTAGAAGACCCACTTCCTACATCAGAGTAAGTGATCAATTTATTAACTCACCAGCAGGATAAAATTGGGGGAGGCCTATTTTCTTTCAGTTGTCAACTCAAAGTTGCCACTCCTTTGATCTAGGGTCCCAATGAAATCCTTATGACAAGCAAAACCTGAGCTCTGATAACTGAGTGTCAGGGGTTTTATGGTGGAGAGGTGTTCCTGTTTCTCTGTTGCTTTAGGAAACATTCTAGCGTTTGTTTCGGCAGTCATCAGTTGTTGGGTGAGGTCGGTTACCCACGTGGCGCTCACTTACTCACTGAGATTGCTTTTTCCTACAGTTTGTGCACCAATTACAAATCCCATCCCCATGAGTCTGTGCTCCCTGGGCCAGCTTTCACTTAAATATGCTAGGGAGGGTACAAAACATTTGTGCTTAAATTGTGACATTTTGTCTGAATCTACATTTTGGTTGTAGTAATAAAAGAGTAATGCTAGGATTAAAAAAACAGTTGAGTCATCGTAGATGATGATTGATTATTTTTATGCAATGAAAGGCACTTAAATGACCTGCTGTGATGTCACTGATGAGTGATGTCACTGATGAGAAAAAAAGATTCATTTTGTCCACTTGTATGAAAGCTTTTATATTACAAATAGAGAGACAAAGTCCATCTTAAAATGAATGCCACTTAAAGGAAGCATTTGAAATATTGATTAATATACCAGAAGTCTTTTTTTTCTCCCTTGTGATCAGTGTTTTTGCCGGTTGTCAAATTCCTTACCCGAAACGAGAATTTTTAACAGAAGAAGAACCTGATGATAAAGGAGACAAAGTAAGTATTAAGCATAGTTGGCAGCTTTTTGTTTTAGTGCTACCACAACGTTTTCAGGTTTGTGTGTATTGTGTTCTCCTTCTGAGTTGAACTTTATTTTTCTGTTTAACCAATTGAGAAGAACCAGCAGCAGCAACAGGGCAATAACCACACTAATGGAACCGGTCACCCAGGGAATCAAGACAGCAGTCATACACAGGGACCCCCGTTGAAAAAAGTGAGAGTTGTTCCTCCTACCACTACCTCAGGTGGACTGATCATGACCTCAGACTATCAGGTATTTTGAAATTATTTTGTATTGACCTGCCATGTCAGTATTTGCATTGGTTTGTGGCCACTGGAAAATGTGAGGTAATTAAGAAGAGGCCTTTGAGTACCTGGGGAATGACATTGACAGGAAGCGTTACTGGCATGGAAAAGTGCTGACAGTGATACAGTAGAGGGAGTTTAGGCTTTGGAACTAGACAGAGTTGGAATAATTGAATTTAAATTATGCCATTTATTAACCGTGTGACCTTGAGCAAGTAATATACTATTTCCTGGCTTTAGTTTTTCATCTGTAAAATGAGACTGGCAAATAACTTGCAGTTGTAGGAGAAGACATGATAAATCTTAGCACCTTATAGTAGGAGCTCGATAAATGGTATGTTATTTTGAAACAACAGTATACCATAGTGACTAAGAAGAACACAGGCTTTCAAATCCTAGCTCAGGCACTGACTTTTGGGCAAACTTGAGAGATTCAAATGTTCTCAGTTTCCTTATTTGTAGAATATGAATAAAGGTAACTGTGAGGTTGTAATAAGGATAAATGAGAGAGCATAGGTAAGCTAAGGCACCATATGTATGTAAGGCTAGCCTGACATAAGTGCTTAAAAATTACATGTATCACTTGTATCTTTTTTATTATCATATCATTAAAATTCTTAGTAGCATTTATGGTACCCAGTAAGCACTTAACAGTTGTGATGGTGCTGTTGTTGAATATAATAATAAGAGCTTGTCTGTGTGCCAGGAACTGTACTTAGGATGAAGCATGCATTATGTTCTGTCATTTCAGAAAACAGAGGCTTGTAGAGACTAACTAACTTGCATGTGTGCATCCAGAGAGCTGGTAGTGGACCCAGGACTCCACTCAGATCTAACTATAAGGCTGCTGCATTGCCTACTTGTGGATCCTATCAAATAACATTGTCACTTCTTTTGCAGAAAGACCTGTTTTAAAAATTGTATACCACTTCTCTGCTTATTCTAATCATATTCCCAAATAACCTAGGTTTCAATGTGGGAAGGATGCTAACACTTTGACTGATTAGAATTATTTACCTACTAAAAGAGAAAAAGAGATCTTGTTAAACTGATAAGGTTCCCAGAGCCTGCTACTGTAATTTAAGAATTAGATATTGACTCTTTGCTTTGGATAAGGAGAGCTCCAGCAAGTCAAACTAGGAAATCAAGGGCAGATATCTGAATGGGAGGCACGCCCCCCTCTTGGCTCCAGAGCGTGTTTGCACACTCAGGTGATGGCACAGAGCAGTGCTCTCCCCTCTGCTATTGAAACCAAGCAAAGGCTGCTGTTTTCTCTTTTGCTATTGTTAGTATTTTTTTGTGGGTGGTTTCAGAAACAATTTCTCCACCCTTTTTAAAATGCCATTTTTGCTAGGATTGGCAGAATTTAAAATTGTATGACTTATTAAGTAGGCTTTGAAAGAAGAAAGTAATAAATTATGGTTAATCTTTTATACTGCTTGTCTTGGGAGCTAATAGAACGAGAGAGATGCAGGAATGTGAATAATATCATAACATCAAAATCAGAGTACTCTAAACTCTACCAATGTTCCTTCCTTTTGTGCTATTTTAGAACTGAGGAAACCACTCTTATATTTCAGTAATTTTACTTTTGTGTGTACCTTGTAGCAGAAAGTAAGATTCATTAGTTTAAAGGGCATAAAAATATTTAATGCCAAAGAAGATGCTTCTGTGTATCTTTTCTTAACATACTCATTTTTACTCTTTAATCATTTGTGTGTGTGTTGGGAAGGTTTCTACTGAAGAGACTAGCATGTAAGTTGCTTTGGTTTACTTAATGCATATATCATTAAGTTTGTGATATAAATCTCTCAAACAAATTAGTTATTACTTATCAAGTTAGATATAAAACAGCATAAAAAGGGAGTTACGGCTGCAGAAAAAATGAACTCTACAGCATAACAATAGACTCAGCTCAGTATTCTTTACTAGCAATTCTTCTGACCTTCATATAGAAAAACTGGTATTAAAAGATCTGGGGTTTTTGCCATTTTAATTGTAAAGGCTAGTGCATAGCACAAGACTCTTAAATTCTTAATGCCTTGAAATAAATGACATCTCGAACACGCATGATCAGCCATGCTGGCTTGGGATATAACCAACTCATAGAAACATGGATCACATCTCTCCCTCAATCTCCTTCCAGCGTTCCAATCCACATGCTGCCTATCCCAACCCTGGACCAAGCACATCACAGCCACAGAGCAGCATGGGCTACTCAACTACCTCCCAGCAGCCTCCACAGTACTCGCATCAGACACACCGGTACTGAGCTGCGTTGGAACATTGTCAGTGCACTGTTGCTAATGCTGCGGACTAACTGCAGCTCTCTGCGGGAACCTGGTGAGGGCCATGAGAATGTACTGTACAACCACATATTCAACATGCCCAGTAGCCAAGTTCCACCACTTTTCACAGACTGGGGTAGTGGCTTCCAAATTATACCTGTTTTGGGGTTAGACTTGAACAGAAAGTGCTAGCACACTTTGTGTTGTGGATTTGCTACTTCCATAGTTTACGTGACACGGTTCAGACTGACCAGTGCGTTTTTTCAGTGACAGTCTGTAGCAGGTGAAGCTGTGAAATGTGCTAGGGGCGAGCATTTGTTGTTGTATGTGGTGAATTCTTTCAGTGTAATATTATCTGACCAATCGTACACACACAAAAAGTTTAACTGGTACTTGAAACATACAGTATGTGTTAACTCAACAAAATAACTGAGACTCAAAATGAGATTATTTTGGTACACCTTTCATCATAGTGTCTTATCAGTGGGTTGATTCATTTTCTACATTAATCAGTGTTTTTTGATCAAGATTCTATTGCTTGGGTATTTTTGAAAGTACAAAAAAAGCCACATAGTTTTTCCAGAAAGGTTTCAAAACTCCCAAAGATTAATTTCCCACTTATAAGTTTGTTTTTATTTTCAATCTATGACTTGACTGGTATTAAAGCTGCTATTTGATAGTAATTAAATATATTGTCATTGATATAAACCTGTTTGGTTCAGCAAACAAACTAAAATGATTGTCATAGACAGTGTTTTATTTTTCCTGTTAGTGTTACTGATTTGTGAGCATGCTTTAAGATGAAAAAGCATGAATGGTAACTTCCTTAAAAAGGTGCGGCATCCAATTCAGATATTTTGTCCTGATTTTAAAGCTGGTTGGTGTAGTGCTATTAAAATTTTATTCCGTTTGTTTTCTTTTTTAAATCCTGTTCGCACGTCGTTTAGGGTGCCCTTACTTCAGCAAAGGAGAAGGAGTAGGAGAGCCTTAGAATTTTTGAGGAAAAATAAACCCTATAACATACAATGTACTGTATCAAACTATTTTACATGAATGACACAAGTATTCTGAATTTAAAAAAAAAAATTGAACATTGTTAAAAACACGGTGTTATGTAATAAATTTATTTTTCATAAATCAAAATATGGAGTCAGCTGTCTTTTTATATGACAAAATACGTTTTATTTTACTTTAAAATGGGTCTTCACAAGAGGCCTCTAAGTCAATCTCCAGTTTTCATTAATATCTATGTATTCTGCTTTCATCTTAGAATAATGATGTTCAATGTAGATGTGGATTCCTTTCAGTTACACTCGGTACTGTAATACTCTAAGATGAAATAGATAGCTTTCTAATTGAAAGAAGTTATGATGTGCCTTTCATTTCTAAAATAATGCCTAAACCTTTGAGACCAATTTGACTATTTTAACCCAAATAATATTTTCCCTCCCTCCTCCTGCACAAAATATAAAAGATGAAACAATTAACATTTTTCTTTAAATTCAACTCATTCATATAAAAACATTCCAAAACAATTAAGAACTGAGGAATACCAACACTGATAAGGCCTGACCATAAAAAAACTCATCAAACTGTACACTTTAAATTGGCAATTTGTATTGTATGTAATTTATGCCTTAAAGTTAATTTGTTTAAAATCTAATAGGAGTAAAACACATAGCGCATGCCTAGCATATAAGCATTTGTTAAATGTTACCTATTATTAGTGTTCTCTCTCCATGGGAATGTCATTTTTTTTTTTTAATAAAACAAGGATAGGTTTTATTTATTTACTTATTTATTTTAATATATTTTATTGATTTTACATAGAGAGGAATTGAGAAGGACAGAGTTAGAAACATCGATGAGAGAGAATCATCGATCAATTGCCTCCTGCACACCCCCCACTGGGGATGTGCCCACAACCAAGGTACATGCCTTTGACCGGAATCGAACCTGGGACCCTTCAGTCCGCAGGCCGACGCTCTATCCACTGAGCCAAACCAGTCCCGGCGGGAATGTCATTTTTTTCTTAAGGCTTAAAATATGGCCTAGCTCTAGCAGGTAAGTTACTCTTTCTAAGTCATTTCATGGCCAAACATTTCCTAGCCATTCATAAATCAACTTCAAGCTTTTACATGTGTATAAGCCGAATGCTACAATATTGATAATCCCAGGGCTAAAATATTTAAAAGTACCTCTGAATTCGGTAATCTTTATTAAGTTTTTTCTTTTAAATTCTACAATGGTTAAAGGCTCCTGCTTCTCAAAAATGTTACTGAGCAATTAATACTCTGTACAATATTCATCTCACCTGGGCACAGCTATGAAATTTCTCATAAATTGAAAATATTATTTGAAGGAGTGATAGAATTGATTTTATGAGGTATCTACTAAGTACTTGATATATATTTAATAGTCATTAAGCCGTGTGGTCAGACTGAGCTGAAACAAATCGCAGTCTCTATCCTCAAATGCTCAAGAAACTTAATTTAGTTGAGTCAGGAAACACACATGGGAAACACAGCAATGAAAGCCATTACTGGATCGGGCATGAAGTGGAAGGTTAAGAATCATAACTGTTTCTCTTTTGAGCAGACGAAATAGTACGCTGGGGGAGGTTTCCCGGGGTGGGGATTGGTGTGGAGCCTCAGGAAGAACATAGGCTTTTGGGTCATGGCCCCACCAGTTACTTAATGTCAGTTCTTGGTCAGGTCATTCCACTTCAAGCCCCTGTAAATTATAACTGTGGTAGTAACTGTGGTGCTCTCACTGACTCACAAATACTGAAAGGCACTGTGTAAAGCAAGCTATCTGATGAGTTGCGTATTAACTTTATTATCTAAGCTGGACTCGAAAGTAACACTGAATACCTAGCACATGCTACGCACTATGTGACACATTTTACACATATTATTATTCCTTATAAATACCTGTGAGTTAAGTATTATTTTTCCCATTTTACAAATGAGAAAAATGAAGTTCAGAGAGATATACCCTGTTCAAACTCAGTCAGCCATGTGGTAAAGTCAAATCTGCTTTTGCTCAGCTTCCAGGGCCCAGAGGAAAGTGTAAGCCTGGGATGGTCATGCAGAGTGCAGTGACCCTCTGTCCAGAGCACAAGATGTGTCCTGGTTAACAAAAGCTGAGGATGAAATTGGTAAGCTGTGGGCTGCCAGTGAGGTCTGTTCTTTATACAAATAAACTCACTTGTAGGTGTATTTGCCCACTTAAATAACAAACTACAAAAATAATTTGTCTTTTACTAGTTACTGATAATGTCTTTTGAAAGCATACTGGACAGAACTAATGGATTTAAAAACATGCTCATTTAATAGGCCCTAAAATCAACTTGATTAATATGTAGTAATTGCTTTTCCAGTTCAGTTACTTCACTGGTAGAAAGTATCTTCACTAATAAAAGAGTAATATGCAAATTGGTTATGACGCCCTCATAGTGAAGATCCGAACAGCAGGCTGCATGGGGCGACCAGGCCAGCGCGAGGGGGGGAGAGGGGGGAGGGAGCAGTGAGGAGCAACCAGCCAGCAGAGGTGGGCAGTGAGGGGCAAACAGGCCGGCGTTGGGGGGGAGCATTTGGGGACAATCAGACAAACAGGCAGATGAGCAGTTAGGAGACAGCAGTCCCATATTGTGAGACAGATGTCTCACTGCTGGTTTAGGCCTGATTCCAGCAGTCAAACATCCCCCAAGGGGTCCCGAATTGGAGAAGGGGCTGAGGGGACACCCTCCCCCTTGCACGAATTTCGTGCACTGGGCCTCTAGTGCAATATATAAGTAAAAGTAGACAACTAACAATGCTCTCTGATTTAATTAAAAGCTTTTATTATGCCACATAATACTGGACTCTTCCAAGTTCATTTTTATTTCTTCCAGCCACTGCTACAGTGACAAAAACATGGACTGTTTGTGGGGAGGTGCTTTGCCTGGGGCCCTCGTCAAGTATGTGTCCCTTCCTGCCATAGAGCTCGGATCCTTCAGTGCAGAATGCCCATTGGATCCACTCTGAATTCAGGAAATCACAACTGGGATATGAGGAGGAGCTAAGGCCCCTATAGGGTCATCCTTGACCAGTGTTTTAAAGGAGTCAAAAGGTAGATGCTTCCTCCTTCTATTTCCAAATCAGAACAGTTTGGAGCTGCATTTCATAAGACTTTTTAGAAGGTCTTAACAGAGTGGAGCACCAGTTGTCCAGTGTCAGCCAATAGAACAATGCATCCTTGTATTGGTTTTCATTCCTTCCTCTATTGTTCTCTCCCTCATCTCACATTACTGCTACCTGAGATCAAACCACCTGCACACAATTCTTTGTCTCGGTTTTTGCTTTGGAGGAGGATGAAATCCAGACTTTTAAAGTTTGCTTTTAAATGGATCTTCTAAAGCAATTGGTCCCTGGCCAGGTGGCTCAGTTGGTTAGAACATCATCCTGTACACCAAAAGGTTACAGGATCACTTCCCGGTCAGGGCATGTACCTAGGTTGTGGTTTGATCATTGTTTAGGGCATGGGGGTAGGGTTGGGGATTAGGAGACAGTGATGGATGTTTCTTCCCTCCTCCCCCCTCTTCCTCTCTTAAAAAAAAATCAATAAAAATGCATATCCTGTGATGAGGATTAAAAAAATAGTTTTTGTAAGATACCCATTGCTAGTGGAAAGTGGATGGTACTAACTGCTTTGCAGCAGCATCCATCAAAATCACTAAGGTTTTCCCTGTGGTAATTTGGGATGAGCTACAGGTAGAAGGTGAATCATTGGATTATGAAAAAGCTGGGGGTACTTGAGTGTATTGAAACAATGGTATATAAAATAGTGTGGGATTGGCTCACTATTGTTAACTGCTTTGAAAAAGTTAAAATGACAAGCTCAGGTTAGCCAATTACCAATCCAAGACAGGCTGTTAAGGTCAGAGAGTCAGAGTGAATGGTTGGTAATGCAAATTTAATGTAAACTGAATCAAGTAATAGCC